ATGGAACTTAGTCAGGTCCATCCTGTGCAGAGAATATCACACAGGACGTATTTGACGTAGCAAGAGGACAACGTGGCAACCAGGACCCCCCGGTCCCCCATACCGCATTTTCTGACATTCAATGCACATTCAGCACATGCATGTGTACTACTCCCGCATGATTGTGACCTCCACCTCATCATATGCATTGGGCCCTTCTCATTCACCCGCCCATCCCCCACCGGAACCGTCTGAGCTGGCATGCCTCTCAAGGCTCAGCAGCACTCACACCTCCCACTTAAAAAACCACCAGTACATCTGGGCCTCTTTTGTACAAGGCAGCATAATTTTCTCTTTTTTGTTTTCGCTGGCACTGCCAGCCATTTTGGTCCAGCCTCTCATGTTTCTCAAGTTGCCAGTTTGGCCATGTCCTGGTGGTTTAAGACAACTCTCAACCAATTCACTCAACCTGAGCTCATGTTATGAAAAGAATCCTCCATTTTGGCATTTTGTTGAAAATGGAGATCATTTTGTCTTTGTCTTGGTCTGTTGGGTAACACTTAGGTATCTTGGCATTCGGTAAATTGCCCTGATGTTCTTCCCAATGGTTCGGGTAACTCCGAAAATAAAATCCCAATCGATCAGTATTGTCTATGCATATTCCAGACTGAGTTATCTCAGCCAAAGCCGGGTGATGGCCCCCGTATCTCAATTGTTCTGTATATTTTCATACGGGATGCTGGGCCCAGTTCCCAGCATGTTGTTATGCGACAGCATCCACATAATATTATTATGCCCGCTGACGCTCGCAAATTCGAGACGGCAGGTCAAACACAGTCTCACAGTCCATTTCAAAGTGGAACTCCCATGGAACTTCAAATCCACAAATCAGAGTTGGACGCAAGTCTTCATGAGCCACAGACTCTGCCCATAACAGGGATGCCTCCCATGTTCCCAAGGATCCGGTCAGCCACTGCACGTCAGTGCGCCGATGTGCCGATCCCTCATCAACACTACTGCTCTCTCGCTCTCTCTCACTTACAGCATAGCACGCATAGACGCACACAGCGGCGGGCACGCACACACTTCACTCACACTGCTACGGCCTACACACACAGTTCTCCTTGCACCGCAGCTATGGATGCCCTTTCTCCTTCGTTCAGTAGGTCAAATAGCCCTGTTCCTCTCCTTGTAGAATGTCCTCCAGCTTCAACACACCAGAATTATGATGATTCAACTTCCACACAAGACTTTTGTTACTTGGCCTTGGGTACTGGTACCCTTCTGGCCTAAGGCCTGGGTTGTGCCTTTCCCATGCAACCTGCTGGACGCCCTACCTCTATTCACAATCTACGAATGGTACTAGTAAGGGCTTTGCTACGAGTTTGTGCAGGTGCAGGTCGTGGGATCAAGACTCGACAAGCACAAAATGGCTAATCTCTGTAGAACACCCCCAGGTAGGGTTCCAGGGTTAAATCTCTGCATGCTCAGTCAACGGGAAACACATAGGTTATAGGGTCTGGGATCGAATCGCAGCTGCAGGCAACATGCTCAATCAACGGGAAACACGTAGGTTTGGGTCTGGGATAGAATCACAGCAGGCAACGAACGTGAATCCTTTCAATGCGCTTCTCCCCACAAATAGATTGGAGCAGAATTGTCTTTTTTGTATTAAAAGAGAAGAGAAAGGAATTTGTCTTCGTCTTTCAAAATTATGCTGTTTTCTCTTTTCGTGTTTATTTCACTAGTACATGAAACTATGTGTACCATCCTCTCAGTAGTATGTCACACGCACAGCATCATACCTGAACATAGAGAGTGAAAAACACCTGTTAGTGAAAAGACAGACAAAGGCTTGATAATCGCCACTGTAAACTGAAATGCAATTTCATGAGGACAGAAAAAAACAAATCTTAAGTTTTAAGGAATTGCAGTCAAGACAATGAGACACGTAAGATAGGGTTATGAATACTTATCTTGCTTGCTAACGGTTACCATCCTGGCCGATTTCAATTCGCAAATTCACAAAGAGATACAATGCCGTCCAATTACACAAGAAATGAATGAACTTGCAACTTGAAGGAGAAAGGAGAAAGAGACCAAAGAAGAAGATTCCCCGTGTTGCAAACTAGAAGAAAGAAAGAAATAAAGAAGAAGAAGAAGAAGAAGAAGAAGAAGAAGAAGAAGAAGAAGAAGAAGAAGAAGAAGAAGAAGAAGAAGAAAAGAAGAAGAAGAAGAAGAAGAAGAAGAAGAAGAAGATGGCATTGCACACAAGCAATGGACCAATGACAAATCCCCCTCCTCTAGCCAACAACTTCCCTCCTTCTCATCTCCTCCTCCTTTATTTTTCAAAATTCAAATAATAATAATAATAACAATGAACGGCTGGAACCAGAATAAATGTACGAATCCCTCTTCTACAGCCAACCCAACAAGAGGTCCACCATAGCCGTGGCCTCCCTCCTCTTTCACCTCCTGAGGTCAAGGGCTATGGTGGACTACTAAGGGCCCTGCCCCGATGTTCAGAAGACAACGCAAAAGCAGCCTAGCCCTCTTCTCCCTCAGGCCGCCATGCCTGACTCTGTCCGAAGTCTTCTTGATGTAGCGCTACCCCAACTGGGGCCTTCCAGATGCAGTGCGTACCAAGGTGATGAAGATGACGTCCACCATAGCCAGGTAAGCACCCCTGGCGCTCTCCCTCCTAGTCCCCTTCTTTTCCTCCTCCTCCCACCTGGGGGGGGCTTCCACCATAGGCAAGGTGGTCACCCAGGCGCTTCTCCCCTAGCGCTGCACACTAGCGCTCTCTCCAACCAGGCGCTCCAGCAGCGTGACACCCAAACTTGCACGCAGCAAATGAGGCTGAGCCTCTCGCTCAGCCTGGAGATATAGCGGGCAATCGCGGCTTGAGTGTGCCGCGCGGCCTCCAAGCAACACACGCGGCTTCCAAGCTACCAGTACGCCTGCCCTTTCGGAGGGAAACATCGTAATTGCAGACCTGATATCTGCTCTCCAAGCAACACACACGGAAAGTACCGGCCCTGCGGGGCCTCCCAAGGCATACATTCCAGCGGCAAAACTCAGAAATCAGCTGTGTTTTCCGTCCGTGTTTTGGGAGGTCCTTACATAGCTCACTCCGATACAACTCGCTGACTGCAGTCATATCCCTGGCAACTGATTCATCTGATGCCCTGTCAAACACATCCCACACTGGAGTTGTACTAGCCAGCTCACAAACATTGAGTGATGTTGACAAGTACCACAAGGTTAACAGCGACAATCACCATGGGTTGCTTTCATAGCTAACCATACATCCTTCTTCGCCCCTGAGGCTCCTCCCATCTGCTCTCGAGTCTCAACCCTAGTGGAAGAGCTCTCTGGGGAGACGTCAATCAGACCGCCGCTTAAGTTGGCGGCTTAACGTCATTGTGCACAGCAACTTCAGCTCCCGGCCAGTGCGTAGCGTGCTCATGGGGAGCCACACAATGCCAAATTGCTACAAAATCATAGGAGAAACTCAAATCACAATGTCCAGGAACTTTCTTGACCAGCCAGCATGCATATGGCGGCCAGACTAGGAGTGGAAACAACGAAGCTTTTTCAGACCAGCAGAAGACGAGTCGTCATTGAAGTCTATTAGACGATGAAAACCCCTCTTCTCTCCCCCCAACGACGAACACAACCACAACAATAACAGTTCTCAGTCCTTGTTGGTCTCTCTACGTGCAGGCATGGCCATTTACTCTGCCCTCTGGGCTAGCCTACACAACACCATAGTACGGGGGAACAGAGTACCGTGCTACTCTCACTGATGCCTGGTCGAAGAACATATCCTATTATTGCTCTTCTTCGCGACCACCACGTCAGTCGCTTGCCGACTCCGTTCTCCTCCACAGCCTTCCCCCTACTTCCCCTATCTCCAATCATCTCCCCTCCTAGTGCAACCTCCCGCCTACACCACAGCGCCTCAAGGTTATGGCACCAGTCTTCTGTCTCAGTGTAGCTATAGCTGATGCTGGGAGAGTGCTACGATCTCCCCTCCGCTCCTAGAGCCACTTGACTTAGTACACTCGGAGCTTGGCCGCATTCTGCATACCGAATGAAGTTTGACCTGCCGTGGTCTTTTCTAAAAATGTGAGAATCTTGGGTCCCTGTTCAGCTGGTCAGAACTGCCTTTCAGAGCTTTGCAGAGTCCCTGTGTTTGCCTAACCGGGCCTCTACTTCTTCTCGCCCGAGTTCAGGGCCAACTGGCCCTCTGCTGCCCGCTGAGAGGCTCATGAGGCCTTACATTGAAGCAATCTGGCTGAGACCATCTCCTCTCCTCTTGCCCACACCTACTCTATAACAGCTTTAAGATTCTTCACAAATGCAGTGCTTTGACCCAAAACAAATACATAATGTTATACCTCAAAGTAATACAAACATAGTACATACCTTAAAGTTTGTGGTGTGCACTTGTGGTGCACAGTCTGTATCGCAAGCTCCCACAGCACTTGGAGAAATTCCATGAAACTACCTTTTAAAGTTTGTGGTGCAAAAACGTGTTCCAAGCGGCTTTTGGCAGGAGCAATATCCCAGAATCTTGGTTGTTGAATTTATGACAAAACAAAAAGTAAGCTCGTGTTCCATCGGCCCAGGACCACAGGACATCACAGGATGTTTGCATCCAAAAAAAAAAAAGAAAAAAAAAAAAGAGGTGTTCCAAAATTTCCCTTGTTACTTTTCATGGCCGCACACCGGTGTGCAACATAGCACACTTTTGCACCGCAAGTATGAAAATACTATGAATCGTGTGCTATTCATTTGGTCGCATGGATTCACCTAAAATACCTCCACAGCCAGATGGCTCTTCTCAAGGCAGGGGGTACAGATCCAGGCAACCGAGCCTGTGTCCCTGTACTTCACTCTCGTGAGACCAAATCTTTCCCGTATCTCACTTGCCCCACCTTCCAGGTTTCTCTCCAGACAGTCCATTGCTTGCTGACGCTTCAGTGCATCTTCCGGACCATCATCCTTGAACATATCCTTTCCAATGGCATTCATTCTCTGCTTAAGGTCGTCCATGTCCACAAACTACAGACCAGCGTTCCCCACTGCTCCAATCACAAAGCTTGTCCAGTTGGCAACGCCACCCAAGTCCGGCACAAGCTGATGGATGCCCATAGAAATTGCACAGCCGGTTTTCAGCAGCACAGCCACAGTAAGAATTGTCCACTTGAAGAGAGTCCACACATGGCGCCTCTCCTCGTTCTGCAAACACAACCTCTTCCCCTCCTGGCCATCTACAACATGACAGCGGTCTTTGGATTCGCACATGAGATGCAGCTCCACTGGCTTCAAGCCAATCAGAAAACTCAGTTTCTGGCGAAAGCCAGATTTCCTCTCCGTGATGTAAACACGATGAGGGAGGCGATGACTGTGCTGCTCAATGGCGAAAACGGAAATGCTAGACAGGGCATTGCAGAGTCTTGTAAACGCATTACTCTGCTCCTTCCTCAGATGCTTCACTTCTTCTTTCAGCTCACTGATGAACCGGAAATTTCGGTCAACTTTTCCAGCAAGATAGCGAACACCCCTCGTCACCAAATCACCCAACTCTTGAACGTTTCCTGTGGGCTGTTCACATTCAAAAGGTGCCTCAGAATGGTCATCGAAGCTAGCAGTGCTGTTTTTGCAACCAGATTCTCGCTGTCTTTGTCCCGAACTCCCCTCCACTACACCGAAGCTGTCACAAACTTTGTGAAGCTCATGCTTCTGAATGGATAGGTGCCTCTCCAGTCTTTTCGGTCTGATCAGCGCCATAGGATCATCACACGATTGTGGAACAATTTCCTGGCCCTTCTCATCCCAAATGGAAGGTCAGGAATGGTTGCAATTATATCCCTCCCTCTCCACCCCCTCCATCTCCTCGATCAGTTTTTCTTCTGTGACAGTCTGATCGACACTCCGGTACCTGCGTGGAACAATCGGAGATGTTGTCAAACAGCGGGTGCGCAGAATTTTCGTCACCAGATCCACACCTGGGAGACCAGTCGGCTCGCTGCAAAGTTGGTACATGGCTCCCAAAATGTTCTTATCAACCCATTCGGCGGATTCTTCAACAGAAACTCCGGGCGACGATACCATAACGTCAATCCAATCGTCATGGATTCCCCCAAACTCCACATAGATCTTGTAGCCATTCGAGAATATCTCACAAAGGTCCTTCTTGCAGTTGTAAACGCCCTTGTTGTGGAATTTCTCATGGAAGCGCACCTGCAAATTCGGCATAAGACAAATCCAGAGTTGTAAGTCTGAATTGCTTGTACTGCCTGTGCACGGATGTGCTGCAACCCATATGGCCCAAGCATATGAGGCATACTAGGGCAAACAATGTGAGACGCCGTGTTTGATCACAGTCAGTATGGCCTACCAGTAGAGGGTGCTGTACACGCATGTCCTTGGGTTTGCGACTCATTTGTCACCACGACGGCAAAAGTGGGTTTGCACAATGCTCATCCTACATAAATTGCAGTGCATTTCTAGTCTCAGACTTTGCAGATGGTACCCCTCACTTGCAGGCTGCATCCACGCTTCTGTGCATCCACAATGTTCGCTGACTTTCCTGGGACTTGCCTGCCAACAGACTGGGCTGGACTGTGCAAGCGGACTGACTGGTACTACGGTACATTGGGACTGACCGTACACAGTAGACTAAACCCATGGGCCTAAGTAATTTACCTATGGGACGGGTACTATGGTACATTGGACTTGGGACTTGGGACTGGGACAGACTTGGGACACTGCTACACGTGAAGTCCTTTCATCTCTCTCTCTCTCTCTCTCTCTCTCTCTCTCTCTCTCTCTCTCTCTCTCTCTC